AGGAACCGCAGCCTCCTGAGTGAGGAGACATGAACATTGCTAGTTTTTCAGGTGGGGAACTTCCACCTCCTGATGAGGTAGACCCATAGTTAGATGTCACCATTTCAGAGTGGTCCAGTTAAGGATGCAGCAGAAATGGAGATGTGCCCAGTTCCACAGTGCTCCTCCCCTGAGAAAGAGACACATAAAAAGAGCTTTGGGTAACAAATGACAGAAAGGGTTCAACATTTCTCTCTGTGTATGCTCAGAGACTTGAAAATAGCAATAAAGACTTTTAGCAAAGAAATGCTGATGAGAAATGCTCATGACAGTCTGGAGAGCAGGAGAAGGAGGCACTCCAGGGGCAAGGGGGGAGGATCCTGCAGAGGAATGCTCATTCTGTGCCTCCTGAAGTCTTCTTTCCACCCCCTGCAGTGCTCCAGGTAGAAGGCCAAAACAGGCCACCTAGTTAAAATGCACAGCAGGAGGAGTGAGGAGGTGGGAGTCCTCTCCACCAGGCCTCCTGCTGTGCATAGGCTGCTTGCAAACCTCTGAGTTGTGAGCACTGATTGTATCCCAATTCTTTTTGCATAGGGTTTTTATTTCCTCCCTCAAATAGTGACAGCAATATCAATGGTGGGCACATGTTATTTTTTAAAGTTGTTTTCATTCACTCCAGGAAAATGTTTGCCTTGAAAGCTTGTATTACTCTATGTTTTCCCCACATGAGCAGATAAGTCCCCTCTCCAACCTGTCAGGTCTAGTGTGTGGCATCTGTGGTTAAACATGTGGACAATTACTTTTAAAGCATTTTCCTTCTTTTATTTTGATACAGATTTCTTTTTCAGATGCCTGCACTTGAGTGTATTCAGTTTTAATATGCAGCCCTCCCTCTCATGGTTCCTTTAGGCTTTCTGTTGTAGACAGAATTCAGCAGTTAGAGACAGATAGATCTGTGATAGAATCATAGGACAGTAGAGTTGGAAGGGGCCAGGAAGGCCATCGAGTCCAACCCCCTGCTGTTGCAGGACACCAGGTTACACCATCCCACTCAGATGGCTGTCCAGTTTTTTTCTGAACGTCTCTAGTGTGGGAGGGCCCACCACCTCTCCAGGCAGCCGGTTCCACTGTCAGCCTGAATCTGGGTTGTTGCAGGTTGAACAGATTATACCGTATCCTACAGTCTGGCATCAGCAAGCAGAGATTCTGACCTTCCTCTTTGTGACAGCCTTTGAGGTACTTATAGTGGGATATCATGTCCCCCCTCACTCTTCTCAACATTGAACATGCCCAGTTTTCTCACTCTCTCCTCATAGGGCAGTGTTTCCAAACCATGGATCAGTGTTGATATAACTTGCCATGATAGTTTTATTTTAACCAAATTCTTTAAAATTGTCCTTATCTGTTTTAATAATGGCTTTTTCTGCAATTTCCAAAATAATTTTAGCTTTCCTGTTTACATTATCTCCTAGAGCTTTGGCTATTAGGTGGTATAGAAATTATATAGGCAGTCCCTGAATTAGGAATGCCCAAGTTATGAACCAACTCAAATGAACTGCCATAAAGCCTATTAATGAAAAAAGTATATATTGCCACCCGCATGCTCACTGCCCACTCAGATGCTGCACTGTAGAAATGGATTCCATGCTTCTAGGGAGCAGAGCAATATATGTGCATTCACAATGCCTGCTGGGAGGTATGGGCTGCAATGCTGCCTTTCAAAAGCCTTTCCCAGTGGTGGCTTGAGAGAAGAAGGAAGGCTGATCCAGCCAGCCAACCCAGCTTTACAGAGAGTGAGCAGCATCACAGAAACGGGACCGTCAGTTCAGGTTGATGGGTGTAGCTGTGATGCAGGGAGGTATGGGTTGAAAGGGACAATGCAGGAGGCTGCTGCATCCCTAGCATTCACTGCCCAAAGTGGCCACCTCTAACTAATGGTGGAGGGGCGGGGGGGGCGGAGCATGACTTGTAGCACCTCCCTTCCACTATATTTTCTGAGTGGTAAGAAAAGACATGCAAGGATCGTACCCCATACTAGGGGCTGTCATACATTCAACTGACTATGTGCTTACACTCTAAGTGCACTCAGTAAGATGTCTGTGAGAACCTATCCCTATTCAATGGCCGCATTCATGTGCAAGCTCTACACACAAGGAATGAAGCAGGAGGAAATTTTGAGGACTGGGAAGGCCATTCTGCCTGACAGATGGGAAACAGTAAAAAGGCTTTGCACAGCCTTACTCAGAAGTAAGCCTTTCTGAACATATAGGAACAGACATATATACTCATAAGCATCTACTCCATCATTGACCTGTTTGAGCTTGAGCCAACATGAGATATGTTTAATTATTCTTTTTTCATGTCATGCATATATTTACTGAGAGAAAGTACTGAAGTGCTACATTGGCCATTGTGAAAGATCTAGCAGTGGAAATGCATTGTTTGGATAAGCTGCTCCAATGATAGCCCTTCCCTGTGACTGGGCTTCTTTCCTGAGCTATGATTGGCCAGAGGTGTTCTGTGTGGAGATGGGATTGGCCGGAGGGGTTCTTGGGGGCGCTGAGAGTTGAAGGGAGGGAGCAGTTATGACAGGAGAAGAATGAGATGTCTTTGTACACTTCAGTTCACTATTGACCTGGCTTTGGGAGATTTTGCAAGGTTGTTACTGTATTTAAGGCAGAAATGAAACACAGGGTTCCTGTCCCAGTGTGGCTTTGAAGAAACCAACAGCAGCAACAGTTACAGAGTAAAAGCAGAAAAGTCCTCAAGTGGAGGCAGCAAGTGGGCAATACCAGCCAGAGACCTCTGGCTCCTACAGGGCAAGGTGTCACCCCAACTACATGGTGTGTGAGAGGTGACCTGGTAAGGATACCCTTTCTGTGGCAGCTTCTGGATCAGTTGAGCACAGCTTCTTTTCTTGACCCTCCTGCATGTCCACATAGCTCCCCAGATTTCTTTCTTTTTAAAAATTTGACACAAGTCTTTTCACATTGTTCATCTCTCCAGTTCCATAAGTTGCATCTTTCTCTTTTCTCTTCCTATGTCAGATGTATGCTCATTTTTAAGTGCACTAATTCACCTGTTATCAAATTGCAAATTCTGAACAATCTGACCAGAATAAATTGATCATTTTCTTGAGACTAGAAGAACCTCAGTCCTGGGAGCCAAATTGGGCTCTCCTGAAGTCCCCCAGTGGCCACACCCATCCTCCCAACCAATGATTGTTTGGTGGTTGCCCGGCTTTTGTGCAGTTCCCCTCCCACTTTCTGAAAGGTTGAAATGCCTTTGCTAAGGTTTAGTTACTGGCAGTGCAGGTTTTAAGCTAGAATAGGCTGGCATTCTTGGTATTCTGGCCTGCCCTTTTGCTTTTGGCCTCCCCTTTGCTGGAATGCAGCTCCTACATAGTTATTCTGAAAGAGTTCAACACCCCAGTATTGAAACAAAACACTGGCAGATAGATAGATAGATAGATACGCACCTATAACACCACTGGCTACCAGTTGAGGTCCAGGCCCAATTTAAGGTGTTGGTGATGACCTATAAAGCCCTAAATGGCTTGGGTCCTGGATACCTGAAGGAGCATCTCCTTCCCTATATGCCGCACCACCACCCCTTGAGATCTGAGGCGGAGGTCCTTCTTTGGGAGCCCTCCTTGAAGGAGATTAGGTGGGTGGCTACCAGAGCAGGACCTTCTCTGCAGTGGAGCTCCAGTTATGGAATGCACTCCCCAGAGAGGTTTGCCCAGCGCAAACACTTTATTCTTTTTGGTGCCAGGCCAAACCCTTTTCATTTTCCCAGTATTTTAAGGTTTAGATTGTGATTGGAATCGAGGTTTTATTGTACAGAATGGATGCTGTGCTTTACTTTGTTTTATTGTAAGATTGTCCTGAGACTATTTGGTAGTGGACGATATACAAAAGTGTTAAATACATGAACACTTGGGCTTCAATAACAAACTCCACTCTTGTGCACCTATTTTGTGCAGCTGTGCTTTTCCATTTGCCTTCCATTTGTCACACATTGGAAGTACGTTGTTATAGTAATGAACAGCTTGAATGTGCATATTGCTACTATTTTGTTGTTAAATTTATGATTAATATTATTGCAATTAATTGTTGGGTGTTAAGTTAATTGGGGCACACACGTGGAAAGTCCAATGTATACATTTAGCAAAGCGACAGCTCCTTACCTGATTTTGATGTGTGTACTGAGGTCTACAAATGGAACAGGCGGGTTGCAGCGCTCGGGGAGCATCCGAAACTGAACCTCCTCACTGATAGTCAGAATGGTAGTTTCGGACTACAAGGGAGAGCAGCACTCCGCTTTTCGAGGCTCCCCCTTCCCCTCGGGAGGCCACAATCACTGCGAATAGAAAGCCGAGGGAGCAGGGAAGCTGGTTCTGGCCCAGCACGTGCCTCCTGCGCCGACCTCCTCTTTGCAGGGATTCCAAGCCGAAGTTTGCGACTCGCAGTCCACCTGCTCCCCTCGGCATGCCACTGGGCTTGCCGCTCTCTGCTTTGAAGGGCAGGGCTGAACGCCTCGGAAAAGCCTCCCTGAGCGCAGCGGCCCCCGCGCGGCGGCGAGCCTCGCAGCGCCCAACGGGGCTCGCCCTTGCCGCCGAAGTCGCGCAGGGGCGCACGGCCGAGGCGCGCCGACCGTAAAGCGCAGCCGCGCGCGGAGCCGCCGGGAGGGCAGCCCGGCTGCCTCGCCGGGAGGGGGACGCCGCGGGCCTGCACGCGGAGGGGCCCCTTTCCCGACGGGGGAGGCGGGCCGCGTGACGTCACCGCCCCCCTGGCGCGCGGCGCCGGGGAAGGACATCCGCGGCGCGCGGCGGCAGGGCCACCCGGAGCCGCGCCGCGCCGCGCGGACGACGATGGTGGCGGAGCCGCCGCGGGCGGGGTGAGTCTCCGGGCGGCCAAGCGCCGGCCTGCCCGCGCCGGGTCGTGGCTGCTCGCTCGCTCGCTCGCTCACGCGCGCGCGCTGCCCGGGGAGCGCGGCGGCAGCTGCTCGGCATCCCGCTGGAGCCGCGCGGAGCAGCCGTGGGAGGGGGACGGCTGCCGGGCGGGACGGACGTGCAGGTCGAGGCCCAATCGGCGCGTGGTCCGGAGGGGACGGGCGCGGGTGGGGCTGGGGCGGACGCCCTCCCGGCCCGGCGCGGGAGGGGCAGAGCCTGCGGGGAGGGGCGCGCGTGGCGGTGCCGCTGCGGGGGGCATGTCGGTCCCTCCCTCCCCCGCGCCAGCGAGCCCTCCTCTGCCCAGCCGCTCCCCTCGGACGGCGAGACTGGGTGAGCTCTGCTCGCGCCGAGCCCGGCTCCCTTGACCGTGCCCGTGAGGAGGTATGTGTCCGGGGCATGTGGGGAGGGGGGGCAGAGTCGCTTGATCCGGGGAACCGGCGGCTTGGAAAGGAGTCTGGCTGAGCTCACTGGCGTTTAGGGTAGTCGTCATTGCTTTGCACAGTTCCCTGGGGAGTGTCCGGTGAGGGCACCTTCTCAGGGGAGAAGCTGTGGTTGCCAACCCTATAGGAAACTTTGGAAAGTTTAGTGTGAATACCCTGTGGGAGACAGAGGTGGGAGAGACAGTAGGTGTTGCACCAAACTCTGGTAGAAATTCCATGGATAAAAATAATGGCAGCATCGTAAGGAGAGGCAGGGTACCAGAGTCAGTCCTAGTTGGATGAATCACGGTGATGGGGAATGCTCCATCCCTTGCCCTTGTCTGTTATTTCCTTAGATAACTAACCTATCCTTTCCTGCAGATTCAGGACGGATACCATTACTCCAAATAGACCAGCACATCCAGGGTAGTCTTAATATCTCGGCCAGATATATAGTATTCTGAATAGAATCAAAGTCACTGGCCCACTGTGTCTTGGTTCCTCAAGCAAGGTGGAAGTGCTTCTTCCACCACTACCTGCCCATCCGCCCAGTTGGCCAGCAGTGGCAGCAGTGGCCGTGAATGGCAAGAAGCAGCAGTGGCTGGCCGTGCATCTCAAGTTTGCTTTAGAGAGTCCTGCCCATTCTTCTGTTGCCACAGTGGGAGGGCGGTGGGGGGGGGGGCTCTCCAGAATCCCACTAGAAGCCCTGGAGAAGCTGCAGTGAGTCCTTTGGGCAGGAATGGGCGAGGGAGAGCAGCACAGTTCATTGCTCTTCCCATTCTGCTACCTGATGTCGCAGCATCAGCCTGTGTAGTGGTAGGGCCAGCCTTGATTAAAATAGTCTCGTAATTGTTCAGTTTTTTGAAAGGCAAGCCAAATAAGCAATCAACATTTTACAGCATCGTTGGAAATGTTCAATACGTCTAGGCCTTGGAGAGGCAGGAGTTTTCTTTCGCAAAATATGGCTGTAGGAGTTTTCTGGGAGAAGCACATCCTGCTTAGAAACTGTGTGAGGAAACCAAGAGAAGTTCTTTAACTGAAGACAAATGGAATTTTTTCATTTGTTTTCAGCAAACTAAGGGCGGTTCCAGAAAGTCAATGCTTCTGGCTTGCGCAATCAGCTCGTTGCCAGGTTTTGCAGTGTTTCAGAAACTACATGGCCAGAGGCAACAGTGCGGAGGCGTTGTGGCTCAGTGGCAGAACACCTGCTTTGCACATAGCCCCCAGTTCAAGTTTTGACATCTCCAGGTAAGGCTGGAAAAAATCCTGCCTGAAGCCCTGGAATGCCACTCGATCAGTTCCATCAGCACTGAGCCAGACAGGCCCATGGTTGATACCATGCATGGCAGAGTCTTATGGTTAAGTGTGTGGGTACAAAAGCAAAACCTCTCTCAAATTACAACCATGCAGTCCTGAGCATGTTTGCTTAGATAGAATTTGCTTGTTGGTGCAGTGGGATCTGCTTGTATGTGCTATGAAGAGCATTTTTCGGTGTGAATGGATGCAGGAGAGGACATGGTCAGGGAAGCACATATTCATGTGTGAGGGATGAGAAGATCTTGGAGGGCTCTTGAGTAGGAGAAGTGAGAGTTGGACAGTTAAGTTAGAGCTGCTCGTGGTCTTGGTGGGAGGAGAGAGATGTGGGATCTGGGACAGGATGCAGATGGGATGTGGGTGGTAGATTTAGGAGGATGTTTAAGAATAGAATATCTGGGTTAAAGGGTTCCATATAAAAAGAAATTTGCACAGAAATGGTACTTCATGGGGTAACAATCAAGTTCTGTCTTTGTTTCCCTTAATCTCTGGGAAGTGAAATCTGTGAAGTGGTTAAACTTAGCCTGTCTCCCATAACATCCACACTTTAAGGATCTGCACACATGCCCTGAAGTCAGGTTTTCAGTGAGTCCATGACCATGTTTAGCACTGCAGCCTCTGTCTCCAGCCTTTATCTCCCAGGTCCTGTCCACCGTTTGTGGTCCTGAAATTTCATGCAAGGAAACAATGGAAGGGAAACAAAGTGTTGGAGATCTGCATATTTTAGTGTGTGTACGGCCACTTGTGTGCTCGTAGGTAAGAACATGTACATCTGCCGAGATATACTTCTGGATTAACTTAAGTACATGTTTAGCGGAATCGGCCTTTCATCTCCTGCTAGCTCAATCATTACCTAAGAGTTTATATAGGCTCTGTTGTTTATTTGGCTTAGGAAATTGCTCTTTTGGACAGGGACTTCATTTCTATGTTGATGTTCTTGTGTGCATCACAGACTTTGGGCACAGAACCAGAGTTGGTTTTTATTCACATAAACACGTAAGGTCAGCTTCCAGGTTAGCATAAATAAGTGTTTCCTGTTTGTATGAGTAGAAGAACAGTTTTTGTAAATTGCTTTCTTTTCTAATCTGTTCAGGGAAATAGAATTGCACGAGTCTGGTCCATGATAATTGGAGTTGTCCCATCAGTTCTCCTTGAGTTCTTTCCTAGTCTGCTTTCCAGTTCTGAAAAAGCTTCATGCTTTAGAGCACAAGCTAACTACCCTTTCCAAAAGAGGAAAGAGGAAACTCTCTGATAAGGACAGACTACAAGCTTGACTGAAAGACAGGTTTCATTCTGTTTGTGTCTTTAAATCATATCAATCACATTTCACAGATACTTCAAATCCCTTGCCTCAGTAGGTGAGACTGCTGAAAAAGTACTTGCTTCTTCTGCACAGGAACATGTGCAGATGGACATGAGTGTGCATAGATATATGCAGACATGTACTGTATATTATTTAAATGCAGAGCATACTGTGTATGTGGGTGTATTTGGCTCCTAGGGACAACAGGTGCAGAGAAGGATATATAGAAGGGTATATGAGGGCAATTAATTTTCAACTTGGAAAACAGTAATCTACAAGTAACTGATTGTTGTTTTGTGCTGTCAACTGATCTCCAACTTATGGCAACCCAGTGAATGGAATCCCTCTAAAATGCCCTGTCCATGATGGCTTTGCAGCAAGTATTTTATTTATTAATTTATTAAACTTATATTCTGCTATTTTGGTCCAAGGGCCCTCCAAGCAGATACAATAAAATAAAGACAAGATAAAAAACCCCCCACACCATGACCATAAAAGCGATCCATTAAAACATAATAAACAAAGACAATAAAACAAAAGAGTACAGAGCTGCAGTGGTGAATGTAAAGGGACCAGATGCAAAAGTATCAGGATTTCTCTTGGAGGGAAATTTCAGCAAGTGCGGCTTTCAGGTAGGGATGGGAAAAGCTGTAGATGTTTAATATCCTCTTCTGTGAAACAATTAAAGCAGAAACAATTAAAGGTTCAGAAGCCAATATAGCTGAAACAGCTGTCTGTTATAGAATTTGACTGTGTGTGTGTGGTGGGAGGGTTGTTTTGTTTTTTGTTTTTCCTCTTTCATTGGGTAAGAAAACAGGATCCCAACAGGAAAATGTACTTTATTGCTTTCTGGAATTAACAAAATAGGCCTGACTAGAGACAATAAATGAACCTAGGCTTGACCTAGTTAAACTATCTCCTTTGGATTAACCTTTGGCTGACACCAAGGAGAAGAACTTTCCCAGAGGGTTGACTTGCCTAATACTGTATGGATGTGCTGCCCTGATTTAGTTGTTTTCAAACAACAAGGCTATTCTTGCTCCTTTCTATATTAATTTTAAATATTTCCATTAAAAGGGTATTTGCAAGGTGTTACACAACAGCTACAATGTGATTGGGACTTACTGCCATCCTATACAGTGGTACTTCGGCTCACAAATGCCTCAGTTGATTACCAGATTGGATCGCGAACAAAAATTTCATAAAAATTTTGACTCAGGCCATGAACTCCGCATTGGGTGGCGACCATGATCGCAGCCATCTCTCCTCCCCCCCCGAGTGGGGAGATGGCCAAGCTCGTGCTCGGGGGTGGCGGGGGGGAGAGATGGCCATGATCTTTGTTGTTTTTTGTCACTTTGCTTTACATTTTTCTGATAAAAAAAATAGTTACAGAACGGATTAACCTTATTTACATTGAACCTTATGGGGAAATTTAACTTGGCTCACAACCAGTTTGGGTCACGACCAGAGTCCTGGAACGGATTAAGTTCGTGAACCAAGGTACCACTGTATGTTTCCTCAGAAGTCAATCCCACTGTGTTCAATGGAGCTTAATCCCAAGTTACTGGGTAATGGATTGGTGCCTTAGCCTGAAATTAGGGTGCATTCATATGCATTGGGGGGGGGGGAGCTCCCAGCATTCCCTAGCTAGCCATGCAGAGGAGTGCAGCCTTGAGCTCAAGAGTGCGTGCTTCCAAGTAGGTGTGCATAGCATTAACAGAAGTGCTAGGGTGTCTCTTTATAATGGAAAAGCAAAATATAGGCTAAGAAAATATCTTTATCAGGATTAAGAGACTTGTGGAAAAGTTTGTACAAAACTTCCTGAAACTTCAGGGCGCAGGAAAGAGGAGGAAAAATAAACCAGCCAATGAAATATTTCAGCTGCATAATTAGGCTGTTTCAGTGACTCTACTATGGCACTAGTGAATTCACCAGAATTAATGCAAGAATAATAAACACATAGAGAAAGGCGATCCACTTTACTTGAACTTCCAAAAGACTTTTAATAAATTTCTTCACCAAAGACTCCTGAGGAAACTAAATATTCACAGAATAAAAGGAGAAGTCCTCTTATGGATCCCTAATTGGTTAACGAACAGAAGACAAAGGGTGGGAATAAATAGCAATTTCTCCCAATGGAGATATGTAATCAGTGGAGTCACGCAGGGTTCAGTATTAGGAACAGTTCTTTTCAGCCTATTCATAAATGATCTGGAACTAGGAGTAAGCATTGAGATGGCTAAGTTTGCTGATGACACCAAATTATTTAGGATGTTCAAAACCATAAACAATTGGTAGAAACTCCAAAGGGATCTCATCAGACTGGGAGAGTGAGCATCAAAATG